CTTCATTGCTCGCTTTGATCAGTATGATGGGATTGAAGAACCCTATTAGGGTCTCTGACTAATATACATGACAGCAAGAGCAAATCAATGCTCAATAAAATCATTACAAACAATTTTCAAATTGTAAAATCTCTCGACAATGGCTTAATCCTAACCCTAATTTTTTAATATTATACTAGCACAGACACAGCACTCTATTTCGTAAGACATGGAATTAGAAAATATTTAGTACATAACCAAAACACTACTTTTGCCTTATGCTGGCTTCTTTTGATGTTCTCTATTTAATTGAACCTTCCTCATCCATCTAATCAATGCCAAAGAACTATAAACACAAAAAATATTGAGCAAAATCGTATCTCAGGTAGAAGCTTCATGTATATGCAGGACTGTCACTAAGATTTCAATTTGCTAGAAATATATAATAATTAGTAGCTGGGGAATTTAACATCTAGGAAGTTCTTTTAGTTCTGTTTCCTTTTTTTTTCTAAGAAAGTAGTTGGGGTTACACTCATAAAAGCCAGGAAAAATCCATGGTCCCCAGCCATTAGTGACAGCCCTGTTCATGGTGTGTGCTTCGGTGTGCACACTTAAAATAATACATTATTCCCGGGGGGGGGGGGTACTTCCTAATACGAGGCTAATAGGGATGTGGCACTGGGTGGGTGCATTTTCACGACTGGAGTGACTATAATGGGGTCACACATTTTCGGATTTTGTGGGGTAAGACAGTTCTTCACATTTATGGTTAGCAAACGTACCAGAATGTTTATCAGTAGGTGAAAATTAAAGTGTTCTTCATTCAGTTTAAAAAATGGGTCAACTCATAAAAATAGAAAGTGTGGGATAACAACAAAAAAAAACAAAAAAAAAACTCCTACCCCACAAGGTGTGAGACCCGTGTGGTTTGTGGGTGGGGCGGGGGGGGGACAACAAAAAATAAATTTTGGGGGGGGGGGGGGGGGGGGGGGTACTTCCTAATACGAGGCTAATAGGGATGTGGCACTGGATGGGTGCATTTTCACGACTGGAGTGACTATAATGGGGTCGCATTTTCAATCGAGTTACTAGAATGGGGTCACACATTTTCGCTAAAACACCCCATTGACAGTTCTTCACATTTATGGTTAGCAAACGTACCAGAATGTTTATCAGTAGGTGAAAATTAAAGTGTTCTTCATTCAGTTTAAAAAATGGGTCAACTCATAAAAATAGAAAGTGACTCAGTTGGGATCGTAAAAATTACATATTTGCTCAAAAGTGACTAAGATAGGGTCTATAATTGGTCACAGAATAGACTATAATGGGTTAGGGGCTCTGAGAGGCCAGCTGCAAATACACAGCAAAAATCTACCCAAGTACGCCCCCCCTCCCCCCACCCCCGGGACCTTATTACAGGAACACTCCAGAAATTAAGGTATTGGAAATTAACATGACTTAAATTAACGTGAATTTAGTGGAAAAACAACTTTCAAATAAAGGAAATAAATGAAAAAGAGCGTAACAATTCAAAATGAAGGAAATTAAAATATCGTTATCAAGGAAATAAAACTTGCTGAGACAACAGGAACAATGTTAAATGTATAATCCGAAATATAAATTTTGTTCGTGGTACTTTCCCAAAACATACCAAGTTGGTCAAGCAAAGAAATCTGGCCACTTTAAGGGTTCTTTACAGTTTCACTGTTACTGGTGGATCTCCACCCTGATGAAATACTCCTCTTTCTTACGTGTCAAGAATGTCAGAAGTGTATTGAGAATTTAGAGGCAAAAAAATGGAAATTGAGGTTGCAGAAATTAACAGTCCACTTAATGGCACAGAAATAAATTAAGGTTAAGAAAAATCAAATGCGATTTCATGAAGCCTTAATTTGCTATAATAAGGAAATAAATATGCAGCCAAACTGCAACTTGCTAAAGTTCGTTTTTGACAGGTAAATGGTCAAGTGAACCAAAACTTATCTCACTGAAGTATAAAGGTCACCTGAAACCAGAGTTATGTTGCCCCAAAAATTTATAGCTATGCTGCCTAAAATTTTTGCCCCCCGCAGCGATTTTGCCCAGAAGGCAAAATCCAGAGGGGGCACTCTGGTAACTCACACGTTTATTAACAAAAGCGCTTACAGTTGAAATATACAGTCAGTATGCCATAAAAAATCTTTGCTTGAACCGGGGCCCGCAAGGAATTGGTGGGTCACGATGATGCTGTTCTTGTTCGCGCCCCCAAGTAAGAGATGGTTAGGATGAGGTAAAACAGAGAATTCCAAAGGGACTGCTCAGGTAGATTTTGTGACGTTTAATGTAGAGTCATACTTTGATACTCTTTTGAATTGTGTGTTATAAGTGACATTCTGTGGAGCAGTTGTTTTGAAAGTTATGGACCAAAAGACAATTGTTAAGCATAGATGAAGTTATAAGGTGGCTATTTCTGTGTATATATAAACACTTGGAGAGTTTGCCAGACACAAGTTCGCAAATCTTTGATAGGAAAGAAGATTGCCAGACACTTTCTCCCTCTTTGAGGGAATAAGACTCAGTCCCGAACAAGCAAGATGAGTGAATCAGCGGCTAGCTTATCACTAGCAGAACAATGAATGATTACAGAAATTTGGCGACAATCAAATTCTCTGCTGACTTATTCCCTGCTCACACATGTCCTTCTATAAAGTTTACAAAAATGACTAGAACCTGTAGAATGCGCAAGCATGAATTCATCAAACCTTTTAATTCCTACGGCTTACTTTCCGAAAATAGCGAAAAATTCCAACTTCTAACTGAATCTTTTCTTATGGTTTAGAATTAACTATTCTCGAAACTGAGAATGTTTTGATCAAAGTTGTGTAAATGGAACTGAAACAGTGCATGGAACCTTCTGTTTCCTGTTTTTATCTCACCTGTTGTATGAAATACGTGTGAAAATCTTTTTTAACGAATCCATATATTTCAAAGAGCTACACAATGACCTAGCCTGCGAACGGCAGACGTTTCTCCTCGCTCATCGCTGCTGAGCAACGTTTTGCGAGGAGGAACGTCTGCGACTCAGCCACAGAAATTCCATACTGATGACGCAAAATCTGTCCAGAATCTGGTCAGAAGAGCTAATTGGTCAAAGGAGTAGTGTCACTGTTTCAACTATTGTTTACGAAAGACAGACAAAAGACAAAAGGCGGCAAAGGTCAAATGTAAACGCGATAAATCCCTAACAAAACAGTCAATATTTGTGGAATGTAGTCTTCTCTAAAAGAAGTATTTGAGTTTTGCTGGAGCTCATTCGCAGATGAACACAACACTTTTCCAAAATCGACCAGGAGAAACGTAAAACTGAACAAATTTGCATTTGGAACCCCATGACTACCAGATTTATTATGTAAACATTGATTTACGTCATCAGTATGGAATTTCTGTCGCTGAGACGCAGATGTTCCTCCTCGCAAAACGTCCCTCAGCGGCGATGAGCGGGGAGAAACGTCTGCCGTTCGCAGGCTACACAACAACCAAGAATACTATTGCCCAACAATATACAGAGATGGGGCAGCTGTAGTGTCAACTATTATTAGTATTAGGTGTAATACACAGACAGATTAATATAATAATATTATTGGATTGAGCAGTGTGTGTAATACATGTTAAGACAAACAGTTAAGGGCTGTAAATGGGTAATATATCTTGTTTTTTTCAAAGCCACAATGAGACAAAACAAGAGTTGAGGATGGTAAAATTTTGGGCGACAGAACTCAGCATTTTGGTTGACATAAATATAAGCTTAAATTTTTAGACCCATAATTCTGTGCGAGATTACTTTCAAGCAAATTGACTGTATAGCTTGTGAAGTCCTGCGTATTCTGCAGTTACGCCAAAAGCTCTACCCTTTAGTATTAAAAGAGTCCTTCTTTTTCCAACTGTGAAGATATTCATCTTGAACTTGGTTAATATCCTTTTCATCCAGTGTCACCTTACATGTAGGAACCTTAACTGAAAGTTTATGTGCACCACTTTCTAAATAACCGAGGACATCTGGCTTGTGAATAACAAGCCGCAGCAAAGCTAAAGCATCTCCTTCGGCGCTATGTGCATTGTCAAATTCACCTCCAACAAAAGTGCTGTACAGATTATTCAGGGAACATGAAAACCGTTTTCTTTTGCCACCAGCCTCAGCTGTGTTATTACTCGTGTCGTATTTCTCTTCTTTGTGCTGCTTCCTAAAAGCTTTGAGTGAATCCGAAACGTGTACACTATCAGGTAATGTTATTCCAACGTCTTCTAGGTGAGAAACCAGAATTTTGAAGTCAAATTGATCGCCATTATGTGCTACTAAACAAACAGGTTGCGGTTGTCTCATAATAAATGACTTCACAATTCTTCCATGTTCGATGTCAAAGCCCCTCTTCTTTTCAAGGTCCTCATTTGATAAACAAGTTACCGATGAAGCAAAGGGCTCAATTTCCTTTGTAGGTCGAACACAAGTTGTAAGTTTATCGATTAAACGAGGAATAGTTTTCGTCTTGGTACTTTCAATGATATGACTTCGTTCAACAGCCACCATGCAAAGTTCAGTGATTTCCACAGGTTTTCTTAATCCAGTGGTTTCAAGATCAAGAAATATAAATGTTGTAAACTGTGAAGTACCGATCATTACCTTCTTTAACGTTTGCGATGGCAAAAATCTCAGAAAATTACTTGAAAATCTTGAACAACCTCGAAGCAAACATAGCATTTTTCATTTTCCTTCAAAGGGAAATTTCCCGCCGCTTGGTTCCAGTTTACTCACGAGAACAACGCTATAACGAGGCAGAATGCGCGAGACCTTTTACGCATGAGTTTATCAAGTACTCAGGTGACCGCTATATACTGCGGCTCATTATTGACGTGGAAGTTTGTTCCAAAACACCGGGAGAGAATTATTATAAGCTGTGTGTCTTGGCTGGAGAGAAGAAAAGAAATACAACGGAGCTTCTACCATGACGTATGAGTTGAATATTTAATGGAGGCACCTTTAAAATGTTGCTTAAGTGAGTGGAAAAATTTCCAATAGGTGTGGAGAAGGGCATTCTCGAAGCTGATGGCTTCCGCACATGTAAGTGCATACCTAACTTTATTAGACTTATCTTTTTTTTCTGTTCCAGTGGTGTTCTGTAAAAAACTCACGCTGAGGAATGTTTTTCTATAAGAAAGTTTTAATTCATTATCTTATTAGTTTCTAGCCTTAAACACTCATTAATCGGACGTTATATAGTTCTAAAAAGTATGACGTTATGCGAAGTTCATTGATCGATCTTCTAGAAAACTATCTCGTGTTTATATGCTTCACTTCTTTTCTTTATTAAACAAATCAGCCTTTAAATCCTTTAAGTAGATCAGCAGTGTTTATAAGTTTTGTTAGTACTAAAACATTTGACAAAAATGTTGCGGTTTGTTTAGTATTGATACTGTGTATGAGATTTAGGTGATCTTGTAAGCTCCAAGCGGCCAGAGATGCTTCAAGGTTGTTTAACGCGTTTAAAAGTTGACAAATGTTTGCTTTCTCTACCATAACAAATATTTGGCAGTTTTAAGGATTACGGTTTGACTCTGCGAAATGAAAGCACTTCACTTTCGAGGGTTAAGTTATCTTTGAAACGAACTGACTTTACTCGTGCAGACAGTTCGTTCCTCTCGATGTGACGGCGGTTTGTGGTGATGTGAAGCGTTATTAAGACAAAAGCGATGACTGAGACATTAAAATTAATGACAGGTTTCAAATTTCAGAAAAACAATGAGACTTTTAGCCAGGATCAAACCTGGAAGAACAATATTTAAAGCAAAGTTTTGTATGTGAAGGAATTCCCTTACGCTCTATAACAAGCTGATAAGTGAAAGAGCCCAATATAGTATTGCTTAAATTAGACCGTAGGCACTGCATAATGATCAGGTTTTGCAATGTTTTGTGATGTGAAAATCAATGTGTAGAACTAACATGTAGCATTGTTGTCACAGGAATCCACTTGCCAAGCCTGGGGGGCTGGCAAAATTTTCTTTTGCCAAAAGAAAAATTTGAAAGCCCTGACTGTGTAACAATGTGTTGAAATTATTGCAAGCGTAAAGTTTGGAATTTGAGCCCTTTTACATTTGTAGCAAATTGTGAATTTTGGTAAACTCAAGGTAATTAACTTGTCCAAGTAACAAAGGTATTTGTTTGCTCAATGTACCAGTGTATGAGTTGTGTGCAGGCAAACAGTTGTAAAAGGGTATTCTGGAAAAAACATTGAGATATTTTTTGTTATCATTGTGATCTAAAAAGAAAATATTAACTATTTCTATATTGAAACAAAACATCTGAGCAAGTGAGGTACCAGTGTACAAACTAAGTTGTCAGAAAACATAATTCATTATCAGTCTGAACTATGAAGCTTCCCCTTAGAGCAGGTTTCATACAGTTAGGACTTTGCAGCTTTTTGCCCTAAAAATCCAAGTAAGTCTATGAAATAAACCTTTGAGATAAAAGAAACTTAGCTTTATTAGGCTTAATTAAGAACTAGACTAAAACATTATAATAGTGATAATTTCTTTTGTTGTAATTAACAACTGAAGCAAAAGAAGTTATTCTTGTTATTTTTAGTCTTTGCTTCCTACAGATAGAGTTAAACGTTTTTACGGATTAACAGCTGTTATTTACAAAATATTGGTGATTATATATAGGTTACCTTTACATTATTGCCTTAAAAACAAATTGGAATTGTTAACACTTTGTAGTTAACCAGTGTGTGCATTCATCCCTGGTAGATGCTAACAACTCCATAAAAAAGGGAATCAATACAGACATTTACTTGTTGATCTTTTTTATATAAAAGTCAATGTGAACTAACCCAATATCATTATCATTATCATCATCAATCTTCAATGACTCACACTTGAATTTGTTACAAAAAAAATACTCTTGAATACCTTTGCTCCTGGGGTACAGAACCAAAAAAAAAAAAATAATGGTAAACAATGCGAAGCTTAAATGGTAATTTTAGCCCAATTTGTCACAGCAAACAATTTTACTGGCGTACTCAAAAGTAGTTTTTCTGTAGGAAGGTTTTCTACTTTAATTTGGATTTCTTTGTGAAGTGTTTCTTTGTCAGATGAATGTTGTTGAATCAAATGTCAACTTGATCTAGAAATAACAAATAAATAAATGAATAGATGAATATTAAAGTTACCTGGAAGTCCCTCAGGGTTTTTTCTCTTTGCACCCCTTCAAATATGGCTAAAATCTTGGACAAGAAACGTTAAGAAAAATGGGCATTGCCATGTCTAGTTTCAAGGTAAAGCTAGCTGTTGAAGACACTGTCAACTGAAAAAACACCCCATTTCCCCCAAAAGCAAATTGAAATCCCACTGGATCATTTCTTACTGCCAACTTAACAACTACATTGACCAGGGTGGAGGGAGGGGAGGGGCCATCGTGGTACCAAATCCGTGGATAGGTGTTCTGTGGGTAAGGAAGTGCAAAGTTCTTAACACTTTTAGTGGTTCTAACATGTAAACAAAACCAACGTCTATCATAAATTATAATATAATCTAAATTCACTATGACGACTTTTGAAAACGGGTACGGTTTTTGATCTGTTTTCAAAAACTTACCGGTTTAAAAAAGTGTAATCTGCTAATCATCCAGCATTAATAAAAGGAATCAAGGGAACAGGTTATCTTTTATGTTATAATGACAGAATGAGGGTGATCCGCTTGGTGTTACCAACAGCATGAAAAAGGAGGGTGCATCAAACACAACTGCAATAAAGTCTCAAGGAAAGGTATGTAATATGATATTATATGTAGTACAATTAACTCTCTCTCAACATGGACACCTTTGGGACCGGCACTATATATATCCATCTGAGAGAGATGTCTGTCTTATTGAGAAGCAACTAAAAGGAGTGAAGAAAGGCAGGCACTAAGTTTTGGTGTCTGTTTTAGCGAGGTGCCCGTCTTTTTTTAGAGGTGTCCATCAAGAGAGTCGACTGTACTTCCCTACAGCTGTATAACGAGCTTTGCTTTGGAACAAAGGATAGAGTTAATGATATAAATAATAATAGCAATTGTGAGAAGCCAGGAAATTGAATAGAGACAGTTGTCAGTACCCTCTGTAGAAAGTTTTTTTCCCCAGCTTCAAGTAACCTCCTGCTCCTAGATAGCTTCCAGTCCAGAACCCCCTTTAAACCCTAGCAGTGATCAGTGTCAAATTTCTCTTTGTTATATCAATGTGTTATGAAACAGTGATCATGAGAAAACAGGACTTAGTTGTTAATTGATATGTTAACAACTTTTGCTGACTATATGGAAATGTGGAATAACAAGTGAGAATTTAAATTTTGACATCAGGGGTTAAAGACTTAACAGAGAAACTAAAGTGAATGGGTCCTGTGTCTCTTTGTACATTGTATTGGGGGGATCTCCTTGTATTATGAGTTGTAATAATAATAATTATTATTTAATAATAATATTATTGTAGTGTATGCAAGAATGAATGAGTTAAACATACATACCAGGTGGAGTTCTGTAAAATTATTTTTCAATTAATTTTCTCACAGCTTAAGTCACTTCCAAAAGAAGAACTGATAAAATTTGTCAAGAAACAACTTGCATTGTTAAAGCAAACCAAAGCAAAGTGTGAAGGTATGGTGTATAATTTAAGGTGCAAAGTAGGGCTGTCACTAAGATTCTAGTTGCCAGGAAATACAGCAAGTAGGCAGGGAATCAAACAGCTAGGAGATTTCTTTTGGTTCTAGTTTTCTTCTACTTTCCTAAGAAAGTAGCTGGGGGCTACGTTCTTAGTAGCCGGGGGAATTCCTGGCCCCCGCCTCTTAGTGACATCCCTGTTGAAGGGTTAAATTATGTGCTTTGTTTTTGTTTTGGGACATTTTTATAGACCTGTCCTCACAATTGGAAGAAGAAAGAAATGAAGTACAGAGACTGGAAGCTGAAAAGAAGGAGTGGCTGTCAAGAGGAGTGCATGCTGAGTTTGAAAAGAAAGACAAGGTACATGTGTACACGTTTGTATTCACTAACTGACTAGTTGACCCTTGGGCAAGATGATTGCATTGGTATGCTGTTCTGTAGTAAAACACAGCCATGTTGAGAGGCAAATAATGTGTTGTACATTTTCTGAAAATTTTGAATATTGTGTACATGAGCATAATTTGTCTTTAACCAGTAAATTATGTCTGAATATCAATTTTCTGAAGAGAGTAATATGTTAATATGATGGTTCTTTTTATGTGTAAGCTTAATTAATTGTTTCAAATTAAATGTACTGCTCAGTGGGATGTGTAAAATATTGTACATGATGTTGCATGTGCCCGCCGGATTAAATACACTGTGAAAATGATCCTTGTTGTTTAATGCTGTGGCAAAACTCCAAGTATAAGATATAATTCATAAGTTATAAATAATAGTTTTAAATGTGTAAGTTCAGTTAACTGTTTCAGAGTAAGTTAAAAATTTTTGCACTCTGGCCGATGTATATTATAGTTGCACAGGTTTAAAAAATGAAGTGATTTAAAAGAAAAGCTGTACACGCAAAACTTGAATTATAAAATACTATAATGTTCATAAAATTAAATTCAAAATTTCAATACATTTGAAAATTAGATCTTAAAGAAAAATGAAGAATTAAAAATGGCTGCTGAACTTGGGAGAAAGATGTTAGAGGAAAATGATGGGTTACGTGGAATGTACAATCAACTTGAGCAGGAACATGAGAAAACAGTTAAAGTAAGGAACTAAAAAATCTTCTTTCATTTGCTTTATTCGCTATAACGTGTAAGTACTTATAAATCCTCTTTTATTTTTATTATTTCTTCTAAGAACACTAAAAATTAATATTGTTAGAACTGTTTTAAATGGTGAATATTAATTTTAATAGCCTGGTGAAATGTTAGATTTATAGTAATATTATAATGGCTAAAAAATCTTTAACCATGACTTAAAGTGAGTAATGATAAGGGTTTGTGTATAGTGAAAGTACCTGACGGTACACCATGCTGCTGGTTCAGATAGTTTACAAGAAGCCTGAGTTAACAAGTAATGACAAATCAAACATAACGTGGTTAATGACTCCAACTGTCAGGAGCGAAACCACTCCAGTTAGCTGGAATTATTTTTATGAGCATGTGATAGACTCTTGAAAACCTGTGGAACCTATCTGGGTCTCGTGCATTGGCCACTGGGCCAGACATTCTCCCTCTGCAATAAGAACCATTATCTGCAGTTTATGTGATGATAGTACGGTGATGTTAAGTTGGTTTTTATTGCAGGTTGTTATGGCTTTTAATTGCATGGTTATGTTACACAAAAGCACTACTTGTCTCATTAAAATAAACTGATTCTTTAAAATCTAGGAACTTGAAGAAGATTTTTCTGCTGTTGTCATGGAACGAAATGGCCTACAGGAGTCACTGAGAATTCTTCAAGAAGAATATCAAACTGCTGTCAAGGAGAAGAAGGTACATACTGAACAGTAAACCATCTGATGGTTTAAAGAATTTTGGCCATTGATTTCACTTAGGTGGTAATACTTGCACCCATCATGGAACCTTATCAGATATTAATTTTATTAAGAATTTTCAAAATTTTATTTTGCACAGCTGTAGTATGTTTATTAGCAGTCTAACTTTTGGCATAGCAATAACATGTTTTAAAAGAAAGAAAAAAGGAAGAGCACAAAAAGTTATAATTGAAGTAAATTAAAGCCCATGGTGATGAAGTTAAAACCTATTTCCCTGTTTAATCTAAAGTATTATTTTCAAGTTGTTTGCCAATCTGAAGTGATATTTATTATGTGTCATTTTGCAATGTACACGTAGAAGTACAAGGATGCCTTGGAATTGCAAGCTTTGCAAGAAGACAAAGCTCAAGATCAACTTAAGATAGACAATGAACATTTGCTGGGAAAAATTCAGGTGAGAGGTCTTACTCTAGTTTCTATGCCAGAAAAACCTATATCCGATGATTGGTGTATAAAGAGAATGGGGCTCGACGTATAGTGTAATCTTGTCAGGTTTTTAACACATGTAAATCTTAAAGTGCGAGCATGGCAATGTCAAGAGGGGGCATGCAATGATTTGAACACCAAAGGCAAGCCCGGGATATACTGTACAGTTGAAAACAAAATTCTTTTGATAATTCATTTCTTTATTTAAGCCCTGGCTGGGTACATTCCCAGGAGTGTACTAATCTGTATAATATTCCAATTCTTGAACCCTCAGTTTTTCAAACCTTCATAAAACCAATATTCTGCTTCCCAGGAGGTTTAAGAAATAAGTTCCACTATTAATCACTTTTGTTGTTGTTTTATTGCAAACAAATTTACATTGATAGGAACTACAGCATGAAAAAGAAAGAACTCAAGAAACATTATTAAAACTTGAACAAGAAAAGAGTCAACTCCTAGACAACTGCAAGGTAACAGTTATTTTGTTCCTGTTAACTCTGAATGAGAATGTGCATCACTTGAATCTTGAATCTGGAGTCCTCACAATGTGTTTCTGCTAGCCAATGGTTAACAAGTGCATCGCTAAATGGAGGTTGGGTGCCTGGAGAATCTGGGGGCTTCAACTTTTGGCAGTCGGCCTCTAGACTGAATAACACCCTCATGTATGGCACAATGGTGCAACCCAGCCATGAGCTGCCACACAAAAGGAAATAAACAGACACCCGTCACACTGAAAATTACATGTGTATCGGTGAAAAAAGAGCACTAGGAAGAGGAGAGGGGGAGAGTAGCTGAAAGAAACCTTGGGGCATGGACAATGCAGCACAAAGGAAATTCTACATGCCCCTGCATGAATCATGATAAGGATATAGCGAACTAGTGGGCGTGTGCATGCTGAATGACTGCTGACCTCTAGCACTGAGGGCGCTTTTCATTGTTAACTCCTTTAAATTGCATTTAAACGAATATAGAGCTTGTTCGTGTTTATTCTTGTGCAGTGATTTGGCTCAAATGTGTGAGAATGACTTGAGGCAATTTGAAATTTTATTTTGGCTGAACTCTTGATGCACAAAGTGTTCACTGCTGTCTTCGCTTTTAATAGTTTTGGCCTGAAGGTGACCAGTTTAGAAGAAATTGATCACTGGCCAGTCACAAAGCTGATAAAAATACCGAGATCAACACCATTTGAGAGGAGCTGAATGTTGAAAGTGTGTTTTAAGATTGTGAAGTGAAATGCTTGACCAGCTGAGAGTGAAGTGACCTTAGTAGGCAAATCAAATTGTATTGGAGCGGAACCTTTGTTACCTTGCAGGAGCTGGAACTCAAAATCAATTCCTTGGAAAGTATGCAATCTGAAGCAACCAAGAAACAGAATGATATAAACATAAATGAGGTAGGTAAACAAACAACATGTATTAACCCTTTAAGCCCCAATAACCATACTCAAATTTTCCATACTAATGTCCATGCATTTCGTTAAAGATATAATTATTTAAGAGAATTTGATAATTAAAAGATCAAAGCATTTCCCCTTAAATGATAATTTTACTAATTCTCATAACCAGGGCTGTCACTAAGAGCTGGGGACTGGGGATTTTCCCCAGCTACTATGAGCGTAAGTTCCGGCTTCTTTCTTAGAAAACAAAAGGAAAATAGAACCAAAAGAACTTCCTAGCCCGGCGACTTAAAATGTTAGCGGCAGCCCTGCATAACCATTTCTCTTTATTTTAAATAGATATCGTTAGGAGAAAAATGATGTCGGTCAGTCTGAAGCCTTATACCTAGGGTTAAGGTTAGCACTGTGGTAAGAGCTTTGGTCTCCCACCATTGTGGCCTGGATTTTAATCCTGCAGAGGCAGTGATGTCGGTTGAGTTTGTTGTTGGTTCTTGTAATTGTTTTGAAAGTGTTTTCCCTAAGGACTGTTTTTTAGAGTGTAGTTTTTACTTCTCCTCAAAAATTGTCATTTCCATGTTCAAATTCAGTTAGGTTAGAGAAGACAAATTGTCACATCGACTTCTGGATAAAGCCATCATTTTCCCAATTCATTCGTTTGTTCGTCGTCGTCGTTCTTTGTTCATTCTTTCATTAATTTGTTTATTCATTTAGCAAAATGACGCCCTCTTCTCTTATGGACACATTGTTATAGATTAGGGTTGAAGTTGTGGCAAACATGTTTTAGTGGAACTTACTCCTGTCATTATGCATTTGAAAGTAGACAAAGTGCCACACTCCTATACTGCATTGAATACAAGGGACACTAAAATGCTAAAATTTGTGGTACTTAAGAATGAAGGACCTCTGATAGCACAAGAAATAGACCACACTGAAGGTTTTTACATGCGTTTTGTCTCAAGACTGTTCCATGGTTATTAATAGTTAAGGCAAGGTGAAGATTATTTACATGAAAACCAGAAAACCACCCCAAAAACACATGTAATCCATTCTGAATTGTGTCTTACAGCTTCATGAAAAATTGGCCAAGCTGATGGTAGAAAAGGAAGAGCTTATAAAGGCTGTGGAAGCATCTAATGATTCCTACAGTGAAAAAGCTGAGCAAGATATTAAGGTACATGTGTATTGATTAAATAACACAAGTTAAAATGGACAGACAGCTCTTGGCGTACTGTTAATTACTTTAACAAAGATTACTTATCCACCCCTTCTGATTCTCTCCAGTGGGGGAATACATGTTTTTCCTCTTCCCTGAGAAAATTGTAGTTTATGTGTACATTGTAAAACTGTGCCTTCACACTTGAATTTGGTTAACATTCTGTGCTGTAGATACCAGTACCACAGTCCTTTGCATATGTTAGTGCTTGTAGAGGGGTTGGAGTATGCCAAAAAAGTATTTCCTGGAACTAAAGATATTGTTCCTGGAGCATTTGGAACAAACCACACTTCTACACATGTATTCACTCTATTCTATGCTGAGTAGAATCTTAGAACAAAGCTTCAGGTTAAACTTTTCAAGTCTGGGTTTCTATAGAGAGGTAGAGGAAGGAAGGAGGTGAGATATTTATACATCAGTGTATGAATGTACGTGAAAGTTTCTGTTGGTGTTTGTAGGATCTTAAAGTGCAAGTCAATAATCTGTTAGCAGAAAGAAATGAAATTCAGAATAGATTTGATCAACTTGCGCGACAAAGAGGTGCAGATTTAACAAGTGAGGGGGCAAGTGAAATCAATCAGCATTTCTTGCTGGCAAATGAGCAGCTAAAAGAAACAAATCAGGTAAAACAACTTTCTTGGAATTCTGGGCGTGATATTAATCATTAATTTAGCTTTTACAGTTAGCCGTTTACTCTTTCCACATCAAGACTGGGAGGATTGTACAGATGTAAGTGCAGTGGAATTTCTGTTTCTGTGATTGGTAACCACCCATAACCGTATTTCAAAATTGTGTCTTATTATACTTTACCTTCATTATACATGATTTGCTACATCTGTTTATGACTCTTAAGGGCTTAGTATGGCTCATTATTTTCGTACCTCTTCTTTTTTATTTTCAATGAAACCTTCTGTCTCTTGCTGCTTTTAACCTGTTAGTTGCTGAGAAGTGATCTGGAGCTTGCTAGAATAGAGACAGAGCACCTTCGGAATGCACTGGAAACCATGCGCACAGAGCACGAGGGCCAGGAGGCCGCTGCCAGGGTACGTCTATACATGTGTACATAATGCAGCTCTCATTAAAGGAGCTTACAAAACCGTGGTGATGACAGCATAGAAAGTGTCACTACTAAACATTTTACTACATTATTTGAATGTTTATTGTAATTAATTTAACTCACGCAGGGTGCAAAGAAACTCATTTTTACAGCTTGCCATTCAGGCAAGCTGAAGCTAGCATTTACTAACCCAGATATCATTTCAACTAGCCCCAGAAACTTTTTGACTAGCAGAATTGATGTCACAGGTCTTCTGTTATTCAAATTGCTCAAAAAACATCACTTGCCCGTCAGGCAAGTTAAAAACAGAATTCTCTAGCCCAATAGCAAAATCCACTAGCCCCAGGCTATCGGACACTACTTTCGTTGCATGCTGTCACTCAAATTAATGGAGGAAAATTTTTCCAGAGTTGAATTTTAAGGGGCCATATTTCAGTTCAAAATAGAAAGGAAAGCTATAAAAAGTCTTGTCCTCATATAATGAGAAAGTTCGTGTTTTAGTGGTAGTGGTGAAAGAAATGTACCCAACTAAGCATGGTATGTGTGTTGCCATTATATATGTTGTTGTTGCTGTCACCTTCATGTTTTGTGAGCTCCCTATTATCGTTTAATGACAATGGAATTGTAAGCGCTTAGGTTATTACATCAAGTTTTATAGTAGTGTGTCTGATGAAAAAATGTTACCTTTGTCAAAAAAACAAACAAACAAACAAACAATAAAAAAACACTTGATTTCTCAACTTTGCATACATGTTTACAGCACTCAGATCCAAATGCAGATATTTTTGTAAGTTCCTTAATTTAAAAATCCATAAGGTTAATGTTACAGAATTTTCTAACATCAAAGCAATCCATTTCTTTGAGGTCGTTTGTAAGGGAACGTTTTATAGATTTATCCTAACTGTTGAGTCTTTTATCTCCAGTCTCATCAGCAGGAAGTTGAAGAAAATTTAGAGACTGCAGTCAACGAGTGCGAAGAAAACAAGTTTTATGTGAAGGTAAGATGACGAATAAAAATTCTTAAGGGCGTTTTGCACAGGGAAAGCTTTCACTGTGTCAATAATATATGTAAGAGTACTTGTGTTATCCATTCCTTTTTTACCTAACTTTCTGAATCAAACATGTTTTGCATGTTTTGTATAAAACCCATTTTATTGGCTAACAATAATGTTCTTCTTCTAGTGTTCCGTCAAACTTGTAAAAGTCTGCGGAATAAAGTGGTTATAAAATACAGCTTTGCGAAGAACTTTTGTGCATCACTTTATTAATGTTATTTTTGTTTATATTGGGCATTATACAGGAGCTTGGTGATCAACTCAACAAAGTCAAGGCAGAAAAGGAGAAAGCTCTGAAATCTCTTAAAACACTCAAAGTTAATCATGATGTAAGTGTTTTCAGTACTAATGACTCCAAGGCCGGCAGTTAATGTGAAGTTAAAAGATATCCAATGGTATTTTTCTGTTCTTATTTGAAATGTTTAGAGGCTGAAGAGCAAGTTAAAAGAAATGAGTTCGTCACAAGAAGATTTGAGCAAGATGTCTGTCAAGGTATTTTACCTGCTTCAGGTTTTCACCATCAATCAACAAAACTTGTCATTAATAGAAACATTTGGCGTTTGAATTGTTATTGACCTCATTCATGCTCATTCCTTCCAGCTCTTCTTTTCTTGTTTTACGTGTCCTTTCCTGCAAGTGCCATTTTTGAATTGTTTCTGATAAAGGCTTTTGAAATGTTCTTTAGGAGTTGAGGAAGACAATTTCAGTTGTGAAAATTGAAAAGGAAGACATAGAAGCGGCTTTAAATGAAAGTAGAAAGGAATTACAAGCCGTGGAACAGAAAAATAAGGTAATTCTTCTGTTATGCCGATGGCTCGTTTCATAAACACTTTCATCAAAGATCCAGTTTTACTATTTGTTGTTGTGTTGTTATGATATGACCAACGACAAGCAGAGAAGTTTTTGAGTTTCTAATCTTTATTACTTGTTTGGAAGGAAACTGTGGAAGAATTTGAGAAACTTTTTGTGGAAAATGAGGTGTTGAAAGATTCAGTGGCCGGTCTTCAGCAACAATACAGAAATGTTGCAGAAAATAATGAGGTGAGGATGAGATTAGCTTTTCAGTTGTGCTTATTTATCATGTCGTAAACTAAGTTTTCAGAGACGAGATTCTCGTCTTTAGACGAGATGAGAGTTGAGTTTTTACTCACGAGACAAGACTATTTAACGGTATTTTATAACGAGGTATTAGCACGGCGAGAGTTAACTGCTTTTTTTTACTTAGAAGTTTCAGGAATTGTAATTTTTTGTAATTTACTAACTCACCAAGCACTCAGGTATTTCAGGAACTCGTTTGAATGTGCCTGGGCGTTCTAGATCGAATTGGAAGTTGTAAGTGTTGGTTTTTGAGGAGAGGGGAAAGCCGGGGTACATAGAGAAAAACGAAGCAAGGAAACCACCAGATCCAATAAATTATTGTTTCCGATTCTGCCATGCACCTCAAAGCAGTGTTGCTACTCAAACTTAAGCATTTTTTGTCAATTCTGTGTCTTAATTAAGTTTTCTTTGTTTCTGCAGGCGTCGAAAAAACAGTTGGAGTGTGTTGTATTTGAAAAGGACGAGCTCAGTCTTTCACTCAAGTCTCTTCAGGAAGAGTATAATAAGATATTACAACAAAATGAGGTAACTGTTGTATTTTAATTAATAAATAACTTTGTTGTTGAGTAGAATTTCTAAAGAGGGAATTTGCAATACTTCTTGGCGATTCTTGCCTATAAAAGCGGGCTAAAGTACGTCCATTATTTCTCCTCGTATCCCTCCATGTTATTTTTGGGTCTTAATCGTCTCTTATATTTTATTGATGTTAAGTTACTGAAGGGCCAGCTTGAGGATATCACGTTGGCTGTGAAAAGTACAGAGAAAAATCAGAAACAGACAAAGCAGAACTACGAAGAACAAGTCAAGGTACATGTATGAACGATGGCAGATTCTTTCTTCAGTATGTCGGTGCTTTCTAAATAAAGCAATCAAAATACGGCTTTCTTTGTTGCATTTTCGAGAGAGGAAGTGAAGAAGAAGCCCTGGTAACGAGGTTGCCCTCGGCTGTTTATGGCTCAGTAAAGGTTGCTAAGGGAGCTTACTTGAAGTCAGAGCTAGCCTGTATAACAGGTGCTATTTTTTCGCGTTTTTCAGGCGAGTGACGGCAAGCGCGAAGCGAGCGAGGAGCACGAGACACGCGCGACGGGGAAAGGCGCTTGCCTGGTAATCTGGTCTTTTCACCGTCGCGCGTGTCTGGCGCTCCTCACTCGCTTCGCGCTTGCCTTCGGTCTCTTAATAACACGATAAAAAAAAAGCCTGTTATGCAGGCTAAGCCAGAACCGGCCGGCCGGACCAATCATTTTGGAAGAAAAATGTTACCCTTTTCTCGAAATTTTGCTTAAAACCCTCTACTGTCGAGCATTATACTATTCAAGAATAAATTGATCTGGCTGGATAGTTTTGATTCAAAGTGGAACTCTCCTTTTGACTGGACAGGTCTTGCCAGCCAGCTCTGACAAATGGAAAGCGCTCGAAGTATTTTGTCACAGAAGTACTTCGGCCGAGACCAGGCAGTTGGTCTATTCATATTTCAGTGCTCAGAAATTGTGGTTTGAAATACACATCATGCATGATGCTTTTCTTTTTTGTTGTTTCTATAGGTTGCAAACGAAATCGAACAATTAAAATCAGAAAGGACGCAACTTACAAAATCGCTAAATGAATTGAAAGAAAAGTTGGATGCATCTGTTGCGGAGAATACCAAGAGAGATAACCTCATTAATGATTTGAAAGAGGAAATAAAAGTTAATTTCCTTGCAAACCAGGAGTTAAAGAAGCAAGCTGAGTCGGCAGCTGAGCTGGAGAAAACAGTTAAAACAGAGTTGAAAACGAAAGAGAAAGAACTGAAAACTGAACTGGATAAAAATAAAGTGAGTAGGGCTCCATTGTGGAGACATGGCCATTTATGTTTTAAATCCGAACAAACGTTTGCAGACCACGAGAAGCCACTCTTGTTTCGTTGCGAGTATCACTCCACTATCTTTGAAGATATATTTCCGCCCACACTTGATCAATAGTGAACAAATTTTTTCGTAAACCGTCAGCTCCAGGGTGGATAAGTTCGTACATGTAAAGGATAAATGAGGCACAGACTTAGCAAAGACAACGTACCGACAGTTACGACGGCGCACACAGAGCGGCAAATTCCGCACTAGAAGTCGGTTTAGTCCTATCCGCGCCTTTTTTTTCTCGTGGGACGTTGCATTGTCTTTGGTAAATCTGCTTAATAATCACATTCGTTTGGACAGCCGTAAATGCAAGTAGGTTAATCCGACACAGTGGACATGGCTTAAAATAATTAGTAGTCAGACATAGGCATGTAGTTCTTTTAGGTTAATTATGTTTTAAATTGTTATTAATATGAAGATGATCATGTTAAAATTGCTATTGTTGCTTTGAAGGATGGTCAGAAACAGCTTCAGTTTGCCCAGAGTGAAAGAAACAAAGTACAGAGCGCGTATGATGCGCTCAA